GGGGGGGGGGGGGGGGGGGGGGGGGGGGGGGGGGGGGGGGGGGGGGGGGGGGGGGGGGGGGGTGATGGAGATGATATGTGGCCGACCAGCATGTAAAAGGTTTCATGTGGTTCGAGAGGTGAGCCTCTATTTGGTTGTCCAATACGGTTTGGCCTTGACCACACCTTGAGCTCTCCCAGATAGACGTCCGGAACAAGCAGATTGCCAAATGCAAAATACGTAGTTATTATCTTGTCCTTTGGATGGACACGTGTTCAGCTTGGGGTGACACCTCCTACCCTACGGATTGGTCGCGCTTCCCGTGCGTGTCCAGCATATTTCGCTCTCTACCGCTTGTTGCGGCACACATCATGCATCCACGGAATCGCTCACCTTGCTCAAAAATGGCACGTTCCATTGCCGGGCCAGTGTTGGCAACGCCGCCCGGTGGTAGAACTCATCCACCTGCCGCAGCCGTTTCGCAGGGTGCCTCAACGTACGGGCCTTTGCGTAGGGAGAGAATGACAGAAAGCCGTCCACAGAAAGATGAACCAAACACGCGTATCACTCAGGGTTGTCCTTTCTATGCAGAGGGAAACCTGACCATGCCTCACCGTAGCGGCTGTTTGGGCTCTTTTTTTCAGTGAGCAGCAGCGTTGTCGACTCAAATTTTGTTGAAATTCCGCACGCACAACTGTGTCTCTCCTCGTTAAGAGGCCAAGGATGGGCTATAATCATGTACGTATTCGCATCATCATGTAAACGACGCCGTTGTAGTCGTTACACCAATGGCCTCGCATCCCTACAAGGGCGGCCGCGGGCGACTTCGGTTGTTGCTTGCCCTAGAGAGCCTAATGCGAGCAGCTACGACTGAGGTTGGCTCGAGAGCCTTCTCCCATGTCACATAGCGTTGATCACGGGCGACGCCAATGATAACTTACGAACCAAGAGGAAGACTATCACACACCACATCACATCACTCGCTCACCTCCTCTTCCATGAAACTCTTCAACGATGCATCGTCCCAGTCTCCCCAAGCTAGACACGGCTTCCTCGCTCTCAGTCGCCTATTCGTTGAAGCAACGCCATCCCGACATTGCAGGGGCTAAGAAGTGGAACGAACAAGGGGAGGAGGGGAATCGGGTGAGAACGGGGGTTGCCCAGCAGAAGTATGCAGATTGCCTGAAAGATGGGAAATGGAACGGAATGGAGGTTGACTGAGCCCAGGTGATGCATGTTCAGCCATTTGGCACTTTTTCTTGATCGTATTTAGTTTCCAGCCTGATCAAGGTGGACGGATAAACGCGCAGAGGCAATACGTTGCCTTGTTCCGACCCTCCATTATGTAGTCTCAGACATCGGGAGAATGAGCAGAAAACGAGAGAGGTAGCGCATTTTTCTTCGATTTGTTTTGGGCGTTCTGTGTGGTGTTGATCACACTGGACCCGTTCAAGCAGGAGGGAGGCGACAAGCGGGGTATGATTTTCCCAGGAGCAATAGTACAGGCCGTCAGTCGGCCTGCTGGAATCTCTCGTCAGTAGTAATTGATTTTCCCAAGATCACCTCCGTCAACTGACGACTGTATTTTCCCGTTCACTCTCCCACCGTCCTTGACGGATCTCGGTTTAGTCCGATCAAAGACAGACTAGAAACTTGACCCCTAGCACCCCCCATACCCCCCCAACCCCGCCCCGTTCCTACCGAGTTTCCCTGTCTGCTGCCGCTGCTGCTGTTGTTGTTGTCTGCATCTCCATGAACCACGGGTCCCCTGGGGTTGCCGCCGTTCCCCCGCTGTTGCCACCGCCGCCAACGCCGATGCCATTCACGGGAACGCAAACGCCCCCCCCTGGATTTTCGCAGATAGAACCGAAGGCCCGCGACCACGAAAAACACCGTGTTGAGGCCGAACGCCAGCCGCACAGCGCCCGTTGTGTCGGATCCCCGTAGGGCTCTCCGTGCTGCCAGAACTCTGTCCACTTGGCTGGGAGCCGTGCGGGGCTGGGCGGGTGAGTGCCCGCCGACAACGCTGCAACTGCTGCCGCCGACTTTTCGCTTGGTACCAGTTTTCTTGAGCACGGCGGAGTAGGCCTTTTCCCTCCTCTCGCTCCACGCGCATTTCGCAACGGCCCCCACATGCTTGGCGGCAGCGCGAACTTCTCTCCATGCCCTTGCGGCCCCTCTCCTGATGGTCCCGAGAAAAACGGAACAACGGTGATGTTCTCCCTTTCCGCTGTGGTGCTCGTTGGTGATCGAACTGAACGCACGAGCAGGCGTAGGCGTGGCATCCCCCCCCGGGATCGCAGGTGCGGCAATGAGACGGAGTTCTTGCACGTACTTGGGGCAAGCCTCGAACTTGTCGGCATCTCTGCAGAACCTCGACCGGTGTGTCTGTGAAGGAAAAATGAGCGGTACGACACGGCGCTGCCACCAGGAGGAGGCCAGGGTGCCTTCGCACTCTTGTACCCAGCGGTCGCACCTCTTGGCAGTCTGCGTGGCGCTGGAAACAAGCAGCATCAAAGCGCAAACACAAGCTTCAGTTTTGACGTATGCACCTCATCATCCGCCGGTTACATGCAGTCAGAGTAGGTCAGTCTGCAGCCGAGTGCGGTAGAATTACGGTACGGTGGGCCGAAGTCCAACGTCCTCTACTATAATCCAGAACGTGCCCGCGCTACAAACACTAGTTGTGGCTGAGGCTGGGCTTCGTTGTTCCTTGGTTCATGGTTCAAATGCCAACACACTTTTAGATTTCAGTTTAGAGGTGTAAACTGAACTCACAAATGGTTCTCAAGCTCTTATGCAGGTTTGGAGTCTTTTGCGGGCGCTCTCTTTTACAGTGTACTTTAGCTTTTGCTCTTACCTCCAGGTGAGCAGAAAATGGAACACCCGGTGCGTGCTCCAGACTGAGAGGGCGAAGTACACAGGAAGGGCCACTGCAGCAAGAAGCGGGTTCACCGCTACCAGAGCAAAGATTGGATCCACCGTATCCATGCTGGTAGGCGGGTTGTTGAGATCTCCTGCGGCTGCGAGAGGGCGGGAAGCCAGGGACGCAGAAAGAGCAACCCCTTCATGATGATGGATCCATTTGAAAGTCATGCGCTGAGCAGTATGCGAAGTGCTTGTGCCTCCCCCCCCTTCTCACTGGACTAAACGACGCGTGCTCCGCAGCCTAGCCTGGCCTAGCCTTTACGGATTTGGACGCAACTGCTGCAATGCGGCTCCGCATGCATCCGGTTTCTGCGTTTATTTTGGAGGCGAGGCAAGGAGAGAGAGCGAGAATCGCACACGAAGGATACCCACCCGTCCTACACAATGCTGCTGCATATTGTCCCTCCATTATCTCTCCCGCGTTCGTGTAGCACCTGTTCCCCTCCTCACCTGGTGCTGCGATTGCAAGATCCTCCGGGCCAAGATTGCACAATGTGTGTTCCTGATCCTCTCCATCCACTGCTGGTGGTGCAATTTTTGGTCCGCCGTCCGAAATTGTGCCGGTTCGGAAGGAGGATAATTCATCCGCAGCCTGTAATCACATCACTGCTGTCCGAAATCGGCGGGGGGCATGCAAGCATGCTCCTACAATTTCCAGAGCGATCGTCCTCATGGAACGGCGTCTACCAATGCGCACGTGTTCATTCGTTGCTCTCTGCTCCAGAGAAAAGCAACAATGGTGCTGCCGCCACGATGGGAGTTTAGGCATTCACTCGCGAGAGCGGGCTTCCAGCTGCAGTGTTCGGCGGATTGCTTCTTACCGCACCGTCTGGTTACATAAGTACGATCACAGCAGGGCAGGGTGTAGGTCGTGCACGGATCAGAATCTGCCAAGGGTTGACTGGGGACGTTAGGAGGCCGGGATTGGCCTCGAACGTATGTTTGGTCAATACCGCCAGCCCGCGCCGAGTCAGTTGGAATATCACCACTCTCCAAAATGCGGGAATACTTGATCCGCCGAGGTTGTATTCGATGCCCAACCTGCAGTAGTATACTGGAGGTCCGTCTAGCGTTCCTGCGGCGTTGTTCGTTTGGGAGGAGTTCGTCATGTTGTGTGAAACTTTTCCCCATGCTGCAAAGATAGACCGAATGTTGAATCGTTGAATACTCTTTTCGGGAAACGGAGACGGCACTCTAGGAGGCCCGGGGGGTAGTGGCAAGGTTGCGTCACAGTTCTCACAGCTGCCGAGCTGAAGGGTGCGATCAAGCAACATCGTCAACGTGCATGCACGTAAGAGCTGTGTGACGCACGCGCCATCACCACGCGCATGCTCGGAGACCAACACTAAATAGCACCGGCATCTGGATGTTGTGTCGATGTCTTCATAACAAAAAATGTTCCTGTCTCCCCTCTCCTCAGCATACTTGGTGGCGACGACAAATTACGTGACCAGGTTGCATCGCCCGCGGCACTGAGAAGGAGGTAAATACAGTCATCGCAAAGAACACGGACAGAGAATAAAACATCTAATTTTGGGCGGCAATAGCTGAAGGCGACCGCTCATCTTTGCAGGTTGAGCTCAGACGGGACTGGTCCAACACGATTCACACCTTTGCGCCCGCCACCACACCTTGTGCATGAAGCCTTCCACCACGGAACACTTGCAGCTTCTCAGAAGAGCAAAGCACACACATATCTATATGTCTCACAAGTATCACACCTTGCGCTCAACAGATCCACCTTGCTCTACACCCAAGCAGATGACCACGACGACAACGCATGACAGAAAACTACAATGCCCGACGGGAACGTATGCCTACAACGAGTCGTAGGCGTCAAAGCATACAGCTAGCCTCTTGCTTCCCCCCCATCGTGAGAGGAGATGTAAAGAACGTCATTGAATAATTCCCTGCAGGCTGGAACAGATGCGACGGACGGCAGACCCTTGTGCGCTGTCCGTCAAGCACGAAACACCTATGCATACAACAGCAGTGAACCCAATTTGTGTAACTCCCATGTAAGCACCATGCACGCTCCTGCCATCATCTTGGTGGTCAAAGGACCGAAGTTAACTGCCGCCACGGCCCAGGGCACAGCAAGAAGGTACTCACAACATCAATACACTAGAAGAGGCGGTGTAGATGAACGTGCTGAGACAATAAGAACGCATTTTTCATGAAGTGAAACAACAACCACTGGACCAAGACTTGGGGAACACCGCATGCCGAGGCCAAGAGACATCAATCCTGTGGGGGGGGCCGTCTCAAAGTCGTGTTTGGTGGGTTGACATTTCATCGCATTACGAATTTACACCACCTGGACTACGCCACTGGGCGCCGAGCAATCGATTCAATCGATGGCCTACACCACTGAAATCGTCACCAACATAGAACATGCAGGAACGCGACAAGACCAATAGTACGCGCAAGAAAAAAAGCAATGACTGGAAACGAGTGATCAATCTCTCCCGATCATGAACAGGCAGTAAATACTGGCCTCGAGCGTTAACCTAGTCAGAGGTATGAATGCGGGCTCGAGGCAACAAGCTGGGTTTCAGGACAGCACAGCACAAGCTATTTCGATGGATTCACACTAACCATTCAGCCAAAGCCTCAAAGCACGATCTCCCCCTCTTCTTCGCTGTCGTTCTCTCCCTCCTCCTCCTCCTCCTCCTCCTCCTCCTCCTCCCCACCCTCCTCCACCCCTTCTTCGATCTCATCAGGCATCCCACCCGCCGACTCTTCCTGCCATCCCGGCCCCCCAGAAGGAAGCCACCCCGCCGCCGGGGGCTGCTGCTGCACCGCAACCGGTGAAAGATGGGTCTGCAACGCACCTCCTCCCTGCTGCATCATCATCACACCCGGCGGAGCTGGGTGGCCGTGGACGATCGCCGCGGGCGGCGACGACGGCGGCGGGGGAGGAGGCGGTGGCGGTGGCGGCGATTGCGTCACCAACCCTCCTGCCTGGGGGTTCAGCACAGTCATCCCAGCTGGCGGCGGGTGTTGCACACCTCCTTGCGGCACGCCGCCTCCCGTCCACGAACCCATCCCCATCCCGCCTGGCCCATTCACCGGGGCACCCCCATTGTCCGGCACGACACCGGCCTGATGTGTAACGAAGCCCATACCGCCGGTGCCAACAAGCCCGGAAAGGACGATCTGCGCCTGCGGGTGACCTGTTGCGGGCAAGCCTGGCGGAAGGACGCTGCCGCCGATCCCGTTCTCCGCGCCCAAGACGTTGTTGCTGCTGTTGTTAATCTGGTTCTGATCCGCCCCCCCTTCCCCGTACTCTGTCCTCGACCTCTTCCTACTGCCCGCCACTACCGCCGCCCCTTCACCGCCCCCGATGCCAGCACCAGCCACCGCCGTCGCAATCCCCCTCTCCCTTTTTCTCGGGTCTAGGGGTGGAGGCGAGCGTGGCGCTTGGGGAGGAGGCGAGCTTCGCGCCACTGTTGCCGCCACGGCCGCATCCACTACCGGTGGCGGTGACATACGCTGCGCGCACAGCACCGGCGGCGGCGGTGGCGGTGGCGGCGGCGGTGGCGGCGGCGGTGGGGGGGGTGGCGGGGGCAACGCGGTGACCACAGGCTCTACATTCGTTTCCTCGACCTTGATTGGCGGTGGCGGCTGCTGCTGCTTGGGCTTTTCGGGGCGGGGGTACGGCGGCGGCTTCGGCCGTCGGGGGTCACGCGGCTTGATACCGGCGGCGGCGGCGGTCGGCGACGCTACCGTAGATGGGGGAGACGCCGGAGGTTCGACCTTAGCGGTGCCGGGAGCGGAGCTCGCCGGTTTTTTCCGTGGGGGGGGAGGTTTGGGCTTCTTCTTTCCAATGGGGGGGGAAGAAAGGCAGGAGGTTGAGGCTTGCTTGGCCTTGGAAGCGACTCGCGGATCGGCCAACGCGCCCTGTCGAGGGCTGCGTGGACGGGGGTCAGCGTTGCTCGTTGTCGGGGATGTCGCCGTCGCCGGTGTTGTCATCGATTCGTCGTTTTTTTTTAGAGGCGACTTAGCGGGCGGCTGGGGCGGGGGCTGCAGTTGCGGCGTTGCCGAGGCTGCTGCTGCTGCTGCCGATGCTCCTACAGCTTCCGGAAGCGCCGGGGTTGTCGGCGACCGCGGTGAGACTTGCCGTGCCGGCGACGCCAACCTCGGGGGCGGTGGCGGTGGACGAAACGTCGTTGGCACTGGCACTGCCTCTCCAGCCTTCTCCGATTCGGGGCCACGAGCATCCACCATCACCCTCGACCCGGCGGCATATCCACTCCTCTCCCCAGCGTCAGGAGAACTCCGCGGGGATCGGGGCAACAACACGGTCCCCGAGGCCCCTCCTTTGCTATCTGAGTCTGGCGATACGGCCGGGGCCGCGGCTGCCGCCGCCCCATTGAACGAGAGCATGACAGCACCGTCCGTCCTCAGCGGTAGCGGGAGAGGATGCTGCTGCTGCTGCTGCTGCTGCTGCTGCTGCTGCTGCTGCTGCTGCTGCTGCTGCTGCTGCTGCTGCGTGCCCGCCGTCGCCATGTCACCGGCACCACCGCTGACGGCGGCAGCTCCCGGCGCGCTTCCTTGTAGCGGGAGCAGCAGCGAGCCTCCACCGGATGACGGGAGAGGAAGCGCCGTCGTCAGAACGCCTCCCCCACCGCTGCCAGAAGCTTCCACAGCCGGCGGCGGCGAGACAGCCTGCCCCCCTTTTCCATCCCGGGGCCCTACTACCGGACCACGACCCCCATCGCCTGCCCCCGCCCCTCCCCTGTCCGTCGGCGTGGAAGCGAACGGCAGCAGCGTTGGCGCGGGCGGTTTGCGGCTGTCGTCGTCGTTGTTGGCGCCCGCCCCCCGTGGTGCCGACTTCGCGAGCGACGAACCCGGCTTCGGCCCGCGGGGGGGGCGCGGCTTCGACTTCGGTCGCGGCGGCGGCGGCGTGGGCGATCGCGTCCTTGAACAACGAGAAGCAGGTCTGCTGTTTCTAGCGCCGCCGGCGCCGGCAGCGGCAGCGGCAGCGGCGGCACCGGCACCGTCACCGTTGCCGGACGGCGGTGCCGATCTGGAGTAAGGCTTGAGGCTCAGGAGGTCGCACCTCGGGTCTGTGACCTTGACCAGCCCCTCCCTGCGCTCGGCAAGGTCGGCGAGCTCCTTCCACTTGGGGTTGACGGAGAGCGCCTCGGCGGAGCCCACCACGAAGAGGCCTGGGGAGACACAGCCGGTTGCAGCGGCGGGCTCGTGAGGGTTTTGCTGCGACCACAAGACAATGGAAACAAAACGTACCATGTACTAAATGTGCAAACTTGAAACGCTGCGGTGCTTCAAAACTACTTCGTAGAATGGGAGAGGTGATACCGTACAAAGCTTAACACAGTAGCTTCTTCCATCAACAAAGCACATAGCGCCACCTTACCAACTAGGCAAGTCTGAAAGTCCCGGCATTAAACTCCTACAGAGGGGATGCCACGGCTCTCCAGAAGAGCACACAACACCGCATACTCGTATCAAAACAGAAAATATACTCACCGTGTCTGGCGCGCGTGAGGGCGACGTTCATCCGCCGCACATCGGCGAGGAAACCGATGCCGCGAGATCCTGCCGCTCGGACGGTGGATACGATTATCACGTCCTTCTCCCTCCCCTGGAAGGCGTCCACGGTGCTGATCTCCACCTGTTCGTGCCACCCGCGCCCTAGGCTTTCCTGTTCCGATCAAGGGGGTACCGTGGAGTGGATCAGAGCGTAGGGGGGGGAAATCGGGTGGCTGAAGGTGGAATAACCAGAATATTTCTTGTATTCCCCCGGAGCTACTCGTTTCAAAGACAAAGAATGCCGAAGTATCACACAATTAACACGGGGATCGCCTGGAAAAGGAATATCAAACCACCGGTGGAGCACTACCCGACACACCCATGGTATCTCACACCCGATTCACTGCCACAACTCGTGCCCCTATCTCTCTCTCCTTACAGTACACACCTCGAACTTCTCCTTGAGGACCTTGATCTGCTTCGCGTACGGCGATATCACGCCGACCCTCCCCGCGATGCCGTGCTCGTCACCGGACCCCCTCTCGCCGGCGCCGCCGAAGGACCGCTTGAGCGTCACGTACACGTTGACCGCGAGCATGGCCTCCATGGGATTGCTGAGAGAGCCGCCCCCTCCCCTCCTCGTCTGCTCCCCCGTAGTGAGGTCGAAGAACATAAACGGCTGGAAGATCGGGTGCTGCGCGTACACGTCGACAAAAACACGAAGATCCACGAACGTGGCAATGGGGCAGGAGCGGGGGGATGCGTTAGGCAGGGCATCCGTCGAGATTATCCGGCGGGGAGGGGGGGTTCAGGCGAGAATTGTTCGTTGGCGGAGGTGGGCATGGGCAGGCCTTCATTCAGGGGGCTTATTTCGTCGAGTGGGCCATGAGGCAGTCGCTGGTCTCCATTTGCAATGACGAGCACAACGCATGTGCCAAGTATGTGAGGTACACCGACAGGCATACCGTATTCTTCCACTACCATTACCATTTCCAGAACATCGCTGGCAAAGAAACGCCGAGTTCATCACGAGCTCCAGCCGATTTCACGGCGGCAAACCAATGAAAAAACCAGATGCACCGAACCTTTGACGTTCACGTACACAGGTCACGACAAAGGTCGTAAGGAATCAACATCGTTCGCGGCGATGAACAATATGCGCCGGTTACGAACTCGAGTTTCCATAAGAAGGAAAGTGAGGCTCTGATTTGGGTTGGATCCCGTGACTTGGTGGATCTCGCTATGTATGGGCCTGTGGCAGTTCGTGGCCGTAAGCCTTGATTATATGTATGGGAGGGAAGTCACGTATTCAGGAAATATGACCAAAGGCCACCAACCTAATGGTAGCAGCCTCTCGATCAGTACCGAGTTCGAAGATGCGCGCTTGAACAGCGGTAGAGAAAGCCTAGAAGAGGCTTGTGAAGCGTGGAGAAGGTCTCCGATCGTGGATACGGTTTGCACTTTGATCATTGCTGAGCACTGGAATGCTGAACCAGGTTGTGGGCTTCGTGGGCAGCACGATGCCCGAGACAAGGGGTCCCGCAAATGTACGGAACTAACTGTTCACACCACTCTATGGGAACAACGCTAATCCCGAAGGGTGCAACTCCTTCTAACCGTAAACATTGTAACCGTAACATCCCCCCTTAGCATGAAGAGCTATTTGTCAGCTGTCACATGCTAAACGGTAGCGGAAATTGCGGACACCGCAAAGTGGCGCACCCCCTCGTGAAAACTACCATGCGATGCCTATAAGTCGGACCGAAAGTTCAACCGAAAATATCGAGGGGAGCGACAACGCCTACATAAAAACCGCTCGTCTTGACAGTCTCGCTGGGCGTTGAACAAGCCTGACATCGACTTGTGCGAAGGAAAAACCCGGTGTCCGGGAGAACCCCTTCGCCCCCATCCCGGGGGCCAAATAATTCAGGCTAGCGACCGAAACCTGATCCATCACCAGCTCAAAAAACCACAATCAAATGGGGAGCTGTTCACATCACAGAATGAAACACATGTGCTGAAACCACAAAACGGTGTCCATTCATACGGAACCATACCACATCGAACATTTCAAAGGAGGGAATGCCGATTGTTCGCCACACAGCAGGTTGTGTCAGGGACATGGAACTGTTCGTAGGAATCAGTGAAGGTTGTTCACACACGCCACGAATGTTTCGTCGTCAGAATGGCACATGAAATACTCATACTCCAAAGGAGAGCCTAAGTCATTGACTGGCCACCAACCGTTTCATCTACAGAAAAAAAAATGTATTGTACATTAGAAGCAGGAAAAATAGTCCACGCCACAAACCATATTGAATGAGGGGAACATGAAACGTTTCATAGGAGGGATTCCACGTCGTTAACACGCCACAAACCGCTTCGTGCAAGGGTGAAAAACAATGTCCTTCTATGGAATATTCGGTTGTCCATCCTTACACGAAGCGTCGTGAGCGAAGCGGTTTGGCGTATTAAACGACGGTGGCTCCCTCATTTCAAATGTTCGATGGTAACCGCTTGGTGGAAGGAAGAAACGTCAAACATTTCATCGGAAAAGTTTACGCCGTTCACTCACTTCAAACCGATGCTTGTATGGAAAGGACATCGACCATTTCACAGGAGAGAGTTAACATCCTACACTCGCCAAATGTCGTTAACGACGTCGACTCTCCCCTACGAACAACTCCATGTTCCTTTCTTGCGCGACACGGATTGTAGCGAGTGAACCGTGTGAACTTGAACCCTATCCTATGAAGTATCCGATGTTCCTAGTACGAAACCGTTGACTCCTTCCTATCAAGTGTTCAATGTCTTTTCTTTCATGAAACCAAAAATGGCATGTGAACGACCCTACACAACTTATCCCATATATTATCCCATATATACTCGTTGTATGCCGTAAGACTCGGAGAGTTGGCACCGGGTGCGATCGTTTCTTTAAATGTCTTTTCTTCGGGTTGTTTATCGCACCCCGGTGCCATCTCTCCGACCCCGGTGCGGAAATGCAACTACATCATTTCGTTTCGAATTTTCAAGGCACCCCGGTGCGATCTCTCCGACCGGTGCGATCCCGGATAAAACAAATGCGCGCAGGTTTTGTACAGTTGCGGCCCGCCGTTAACAAATATCAATGTATGTAAAAAGACCCTCAACTTTTGAGGAAAAATAGGAAAAAGTGACTAAGAAACACAGCTCAAAACGGACGCAAAGACAAGAAACATCCGAATAAGAAAACACGCACCCACAAAGCCATGCGACATATGAGTACTTCAAACTACAGTAGTAAGGGACCGGAGCTCATCGCAAATAGCTTGAGTTTCTTTATGCGTTTCTTCTGAACAATGCATTCTTTCAATTGTTGGTTGCACAGGGGGGGGGGGGGCACAGCGG